TATTGCTTGTAGTATAAAACAAACAGACCAAACCATGGAAATTCCATATGGACCAATGAACCATGAAAATGAAGTCAAGGTCAGATGATACCTACCAGACATACATACACCTTACAATCATTCCTTACACCAAATATAGTTGACATATTGCTTAAAGTTTAAGAGAAACAGACCAAAACACAAAAACTTAACATTGAGCAATGAACCATGAAAATTAGGTCAAGGTCAAATAAAACCTGCCAGACTAATATGTACATTGTAAAATATTTCCATACACCAAATATAGTTGACCTACTGCATACAGTATTAGAAAAACAGACCAGAACACAAAAACTAAACTAGTACCACTGAACTATGAAAATGAGGTCTCAGATGACACCTGCCAGCTGGACATGTACACCTTACAATCATTACATACATGTACGCCAAATATAGTAGACCTATTGCTTATAGTATCTGAGATATGGACTTGACCATGAAAACTTAACCTTATTCACTGATCCATGAAACGAGGTCGAGGTCAAATGAAAACTGTCTGACAGGCATTAGGACCTTGCAAGGTACGCACATACCAAACATAGTTATCCAATTACTCATAATAAGAGAGAAATTAACATTACAAAAAATCTGAACTTTTTTTTCAAGTAGTCACTGAACCATGAAAATGAGGTCAATGACAATAGACATATGACAGACGGAAACTTCATATCATAAGGCATCTATATACAAAGTATGAAGCATCCAGATCTTCTACCTTCTGCAATATTAAGCTTTTAAGAAGTGAGTTAACGCCGACGCATCGCTATCCCTAATTACACAAAATTTAAGATTATTTTTTAACTTTTGTGATAAAATGGTGATATACATATGCATGTATGTGCTCAGTTGATACAACATTTTACAATTTTCATGCATCTTGGGACTCGCAAGTTTTGAAAATGATGAGTCCAGACTGATTATGATGAGTCCAGGACTCGCCTTAGTGAGAACCCGGGGCTCGACAAAAAATTGAGAGACAAGTTGAACCCCGTCTGACAACACATGTAAACCTTTGATCCCATACATGTATACCAAATATAGTTATGGTATTACTTATAATTTACCACAAATTCACTTGATAAAATCACTACACATGTAGTTTTTTAAGGAGCACTGAACAATGAAAATGGAATAAGGACAATGGACATATGTCTTGACAGAAACTTCTAAACATAAGGATTCCTTATACATTATCATGATTATGATTTTAAGTATGACAAATCCATGATTTCTACCCTCTGAAATATAAAACTTCATATAAATAGTAAATGTTGTTGTCCGATTAGCATTTCATGTCTTGCATGTCTTGTATTCTGAAACTTTTGTCACAGACAGGACATAACTGGAGACCTTGGAGGAATAAGCCTACTTATACATGTTATAAGCCTCATGGTGATAGTCATTAATTTATCTGGAGGAAAATGAACAAGGAAGATACAAAAAGTGAAGGTAGACTAGTCTTCAGTTCCAGAACAGACATAGTTGTCAGAAATTTTTTTTTTAAATTATCTGGTGTATCCGTTCAAATAAAGACAGAAGAAATCTATCTATTACTAAAATATAACTGTTCTGAACTGCATTTTATTTAATGAACATATTGCACTGTCAACATGTACAATGTACCTGACAACAACCAAGCAACAATCTTTTAGTTCACAAGTACAACAGCTTGATCCATATGTGATCCAAAATGTGCAGAATGCTATTATGGTGGGAGGTTCAAATTCACTTTATACTTCTCTACTTTGAATATTATATCCTATATCACCTTCATTGCTGGTGATCATCATGTCATGTACATGTAGAACTTATTTTTAAACTTCTATTGGAAACCAGATTGGTCAAATATGTCTTCATAACGAGTTGAAAATATGGAATGTCTTGGACTAGGTACCGTGGCTTCCAAAGATTTAAAGATTGTCTGATGGTCTTAAATCTGTATGGTATATGACTGTTACATGTATAAATGAAAAAGTCTTTTATATCTTTGCTTTTGTACAGACATCATTGACATTTATATTAGCAAACAATTTGCATTTCCTGGCATATCTATTTGTTTGGCGGCTGAACATTTCCAAATGCATGTTTCATGTTTTTCACATCCTTTTTAGTTTTCTGATGAAAATGCTGTTGCTTCCAGTTGATACAGATTCTATAGCTGAGCCTGTGTCTGGCCATTTCTTTATGTCTAACATGTGTGTGAATTATTCACAGTGACTCTAAATTGCATTTCCCCAAACTTTCTGTGTCTGATTCCTTTCAATGAAGCTATATAGACCAGGGAAGAATGTCTGCTCCTGAAATATCAATTTAAATATATTTATGGAATATTCTGATTTCAAAACAATGCTGACTTCATTATAAAGCTTATTTAAGATTATTTAACATCCGTTTCAGAGGAACTCATTTAATTTTTTTCTTTAATAATTATTACTATAGCTTTTCCAGACTAAAAGACGAAGAAAAAATGTACATGCATGTTTGTTTAGGGTTTCCCTACCTACATGTACATACCCTGTTACTTATTTCTAGTGTTTATTCAAACACATTTTAATTGATATGTTCCTCTGGTTAATGACAGAATGTTTTATTGTCCTTAAATAAATGTAACTTACAGATATACATGTAGGTTATCTAAAAGTAAATTTATAAATTTACACTGTGAATCCATTTCTAGGATCCACATCTTCTTATCTTTGAACATTTTTTGGGGAAATAAAAACACTGGCCCTTGAGTAATCCTTTTTGGGATTAGTCCTTGAGGTGTGGATTCCCTAATCAAATTTGTACGTACATGTATTAATTATCAGAATCTGTACACAAATCTTTTAACTTGTATTTCATTTCATTTCACATTTTTTACTTTTTGTTTAGCATCATCATTTCCAGACATTAATCTTATAGGATACCTATTGATTTTGTTTGATGGTTGGTTGTTTTCTGAACAATTTAACATACATGTATGTACTATGATAGAGATAGCCTCGTCTGTCTTGTTCTTCTATATATTGATCAAGTATATATGTATTGGACATGTTGAATTTAAAGATAGAGTATTCTATCAGTCAAGAGCATAATTACTTAATCAAGTCTTCAAAATTATTTATACTAGTAATGTTACAAATAAAAACAAAGCAGTGGCGGACCCAGAAATGTTCTTCATAATGGGGGCCTGTACAGCCATGCTTCAGTGATTCCCTATATAAACAACCAAATTTTTCCAAAAAAGGGGGCCTGAGCCCCTTGAGCTCCCCCTCTAAATCCACCTCTGCAAAGTTACTCAATCATGTAGTTAAAGCTAAATATTTGAGTATGAAAGACTACAATAAATGGGGAATGTGTCCATAGGACACAGATGATGCCCACTCTTGCAGATCATATAAAGTTATAAAGCGACATAACTGAAGAACGGTAAAAGTGATGCTACCCAAATTTGTGCTTGATCTGAGTTTTTTTGGTAATAAGTATTGTGTATAAGTCTCATAACATTTGGTTGAGGCAAACTAAAGTTAGAGAATGGAAACGAAAAATTCAGCAATTTTACCATTTGTTCTGGAACGGTTAAAGTAACACTTTTTGCCTCTTTCAACTGTTTTTTATAGTTCGTTCTTATATTGTACTGTTACACAACTGTCCCAGGTTAGGGGGAGGGTTGGGATCCCGCTAACTTGTTTAACCCTGCCACATTCTGTATGTATGTGCCTGTCCCAAGTCAGGAGCCTGTAATTCAGTGGTTGTCGTTTGTTTACGTGTTACATACTTGTTATTCGTTCATTTTTTTGGTACATAAATTAGGCCGTTAGTTTTTCTGACTGTGCGATATGGGCTTTGCTCATTGCTGAAGGCTGTACGGTGACCTATAGTTGTTAATTTCTGTGTCATTTGGTCTCTTGTGGAGAGTTGTCTTATTGGCAATCATACCACATCTTCTTTTTTATATGTACATAAACAGGATGAAGTTATTTTTCTCACAAAGCATTAAACTAATATTTAATGAACACTGAAACACTAATTATCATTCTGACCCACTGTAGCCGAGTCCAAGAAATTATAGTGAACAATTAATTTCTTTCTTGGCAGAAAATTTCCCCTAACGCTTATCTGGAGCACCACATGATATCGACATGTATCAGTGTGTGACAGAAGTAAAAAAAGTATGCTGATATTAAAACTTCTTCTGCATGTGCTGGCATAAGTAAACATGTATATCTTTGCAAGTACACAGTAGAATATCATTAATAAGATGACATTATGATTTATATACTATTTCCAATGAATTTAGATTTATCTGATCCAATATCTTCATTGACTTTGTAAATTATAATTTTTTGGTAGGAGAATTAGGAGAATGAAGACTTGCAATGTATTTTCTGGGATAGGATATTGTCATGTTTTTTTAAAGTACACTGTGAATCCTCCACAAATATTTTTTTTAATAAACACTCGAGAAGTTGCCCAATGATAGAAAAATGTCAACCTTTAATAATACTCTATTTTCGAGAATTTACCTTTAAGTTTGAATGCAGACTTGATTATCGCCATATCGGGTAGCAGATATCTGGTATGTAAACTCTTTCCATAGCCCGTTTGAAGCATGTTGGAAGCCTGACCATGCAATCTTTGATTTCCAAAATTTTTCTCTTCTCAAATTTCAATTCTTTCACTTTGTACTAAGGCAAAATTTCAGTTAATGCATTTTCTATGTTGTTTTTCCATTTCTACGTCGCCATCTTCAACATGTTCCTAGGTCGCGTTTATAAGGAGCATTCTGATTGGTCGATATAAATACTTTCTGGGGTCAAATATTACGTTATATTAGGTCACAAAAGTGAAACCTTGTAGGGTACTTGTTAGATCTTCGTATGAAGTATAACGTAGTATAACGAAATCCGAGATCTATATTTTAATTAGATTGACATTTTTTGTTCTGATAGTAATATTTTCTTTCTCTTTCACAATAGATGGATGGTAACTGAATCAATACAAATAGCCTGATTGAATTTGAAAAAGCTGCAAATGATATCAGTAACAAAAGATTGTTAGTGTGCAGTGTGCAGACAGTGGTTAAACAGAAGTTAACATTCTATCAGTTTTGGGATTTTACAATCAGCTAGAGGAAATAATAGGAGAAAAAGGGACCTGTGTGGTAAAAACTTCCTAAAAGTCGTCCTTTATGTGTTCAACTTTTTCTTTTGGGTAAGTGTATTATATATATGTTTATAGTTATAGAAAAGGCAACTTAAAAAGATATTACAATTTAAATGATTTATTGATTATTGGTTGCTTAGATCGAATAATCCATTGGCAAATATTATATATGCATGTTCAGAACTAACTATATAAAGTATAGAATTTGTAAATGTATAATATAAGACATAAGAGAAGATATAGATACATGTTAATTGAATAATCTCCCTTTGTTCTTTGTTCAAATTAAATGAAATTCTTCCTTCATTGTTTACTGTATTCTGTTGCTAGTAAGATTTTATAACCATGCTAACAGGATAAAAGATCCTAATATAAAATTATTTCTAATTTTTCAGCTAACATTGCTAACTTCAAATTACAAAAATATTCCGTTTCCTAACTTTTCTTTATCATGTTCTGTCAATTAATTAAATGTTCTTTAAAATTCAATAGTATTTTTATGCATGATATATTCTATATTTCTTTTCCAGCTGACAGCCCAGTCAGCTTTCCTAGCATTAGGGTTATATATCAAGTTCAAGAAGCATACCTATATCAATCTGCTAGGGAACAGTACTTTCCCTTTGGCAACATACTTGCTACTAGGAACAGGAGCCTTTATTATCTTGTCAGAAATCATTAGTTGTACTGGGACATGTATAGAAAATAGATGTTTTATGGTTATGGTGAGTTATTTCCCTTTGAACACATTGTCTACTAAGAATGTAAACCAAAATTAAGTTTTTTAACTTTTCACAAGCAAAGCCAACAATAAATTGAAAAAAAATCATTTCAGCTAATTCCAATTACATGTTATTTTACTTATGATTGTAATGGATATTATGTTGTATGGTCTGTTCGTCTGTCAGTCCAAATAGTTTTTTAGGTTGTTTACATTGACGTTGTGGTCTTATCAACATGAAAATAAGGCCACATGATGTGAAATTACTATGGTATTAGGCCTATTCCATGGTTCACTAAACATTGAAATTATTACATTCTCAAGTTTAAAGTCATATGAAACGAGTGACTAATGAAAAATAATGTTTATCCAATTCTTGAACCAATAAAATTGAGAATTAATGGAAATGGGGAATGTGTCAAAGAGACAACAACCCGGCCATAGAGCAGGCAACAGCCGAAGGCCACCAATTGGTCTTCAATGAAGCGAGAAACTCCCGCACCCGGAGGCGTCCTTCAGCTGGCCCCTAAACAAATATGTATACTAGTTCAGCGATAATGGACGTCATACTAAACTCCAAATTATACACAAGAAACTAAAATTAAAAATGATACAAGACTAACAAAGGCCAATGGCTCCTGACTTGGGACAGGCGCAATGCATGTTTATATCATAAACTTAGTCTTCTGTGCACGATTTTATCATTTTTTACGCAAAGATATCGTTTTTAAATTGTCAATTTTTTTTCTCTCTGTCTGTTATGATCTAACAAATATGGTAGCTCATTAATTGCCGTGTTTTGAAGCCGAAGTTTACCGATTGTTACTTTATAGTAAACTATCAACAAAAAAGGATGCAATCTATTGGCGATTTTATCAAAAACATGCTGCTAATAAATGCCTCTTTAATAAGCTAGGTGCATTTTTCTATATTTTTTTTATCTTAGGAAATTACTATTGAAACATTGTTTATCTGTTATCTTGAAATTATCGTTTGAAAAGGATGTTTTTTTATAGAGATGACTTAAGCCAATCAGAAAGTCAGACTAGAGGTCACATGTCTGGCATTTCATTCTCCTGTCTCATATTCTAAAATGTTATGGATAATTAAAACATTGTTGTGATGTCATTCTATTGTTTTACCCGTTCTTTATTTCAGTGATTGGACTATCATTAACCTGTAAGAAACCATTATGTTACCTTTAGCTGTCCAATATTTTTAAGAATAGACCTCCTCTTTCTTAAAAATATTTAAACAAGCATTTTTCTAGTTTCCAGACAATAACTTCTTGTAGTTTACAGTCAATAACTTGTGTTTAAGTGTATAAATCTCTCTGAAATTATACCACAAGTTTCCATACTACAAAGGGATAGTTATTGGGGGTTATGGCTTAAATCATTTAGCAATTAGGGGCTAAAAAAAGGGGGAAAACACGTGTTTTTCTGGTTAAAGGACAATTTAGACAATTTAAAAGCTGTGTTAGGGAGGTAATCCAATTCAAATTTAAAGAATACTGTTTTATATATATGTTTGATTACCTCCCTTACACTGTTTGAAAATTATGTATTAAGAAATGATGATTGTCTTGAGATGATAAGCTGTAATTTTTTTTTAGAAGTAATACTATTCATTTATATTAATTTTAACCATGACTATGTCATTTTATATTTTTATATTTTATGATGTATTTATTAAATGAGTAGTTATTGTTAAAAACATTTTATTAAAGTCACCTTTCAATACAATAATTTTGTCACTCATCAAAACGGTTTCTTGAGAAAAAAATCACTTTCAAATTGATTTTTGTCTCGCTTGACGGAGTCAAAAAGCGAGACATAGGTATGCTGTTTCCGGCGTTGGCGGCGTCAACAATGTATTAGTTTGTACAAGAATCATCATGAAAAGAGTTCTATGAAAATGTTGGTGCAAGCAGAGATGTATATCAAATATGTCTCATGTGCAAGTTAAGTATCTTCACGTTGTGACCATTTTTCCCCTGTCAGGTTTGCATAATGTAGTTTTCTAGTATGGTACGTATTCAAGATATCAAACAATTACCTGCGTTTCGCTCTTATGTTCTGCAGAAGATCAATCACGTTTGGTTTAGTCGTCTCAAGGAAGATATTTGAAAACGTTTACGGCCGACAGACATTTATCAGATGAAAATTGATTAGTGTGCCAATTTAAACCGTAAGATTTTTTGAACAGATATATCATGTTAAGGAAGGGTATTTTTCGCAAATACCCATCAAGAACATGCTATATCTGTTTAATTACACCGAATGCTAACGTACAAAACGCATTGATGATCGTGATATAAATCGCATTCATTTTGATGATCGTGACATTACAAGCGTCCAGTCGGATAGAGTATTTTTTGGCAAATACCACGGCAGAGAGGGTAAGAAAGGCATATCCTTTTTGCATATACCCCGGCGCTGTTAAAAATGAACGATATTCATTTGATAAAAGTAAATTGGTGAAAAATACACTGGCTATCAACCAATCAAAACCCAGGATTCTTACATAAGGTGTAATTATTTTATAAATACAATTCAGGGATCAAATAATGCCTACTTTAGACAATTTAGCTCAGCATTTGATTTTGTATAAACATATTTCATGTTGTTTAAATCTCAAAATTATCAATTATCAAATATCTTAACAGGCGTGGATGCAATTTGAAGGGGGGATGGGCTGACCCGGCAGATATCCTTTATTATCACCTTACACGAAAATCTGAATCTACTCTGGCTTAATGTATTTTCATCATATTTTTATGCCCCACTTACGATAGTCCGGAATTAGGTTAAAGTTTTTGGTAATGGTAGATTTTTGTGACGTTGCAGTCACATCGTCAACTTGAAAATGAGTACACATGTTTCTTATAATGTGGTCTTTCTAACTTGTATGCCGAATTAGGGTTTTGGCATTATTTTCATGGTTAACCGAACATAGAAATATGATAGAGTAGAAACAGTTTATTCTCAGGTTAAGGTTTTCGATTAAGGTAGTTTAGGGTGAAGTTGTAGTCACACCAACTTGAAACTTAGTATACATGTTCGTTAATTTTTTTTGTATCAAATTGTCAAGGTTCACTGAACATAGAAAATAGTGCAAGTTGGGTATCAGTGTACTGTGGAGACATTTTCGTGTCAATCATTTAGATTATCATTTAATTCCGTCTTCATACTAAGGTTTTTTTGACTGAGATGACATTTTTGCATTTCTGCTGATAATTATAACTCTCCTTTAAAAATTTTCAAGAAAGGGAAAATCGTAAATTTTCTTTTTACGCACTCATTATAATGTGCGGAACAAGACGTGGTTCTGATTGTTGGATCCTTTATTTGGTGTTTGTGCACTCTCAAACGATCATAACGATTTGCATTTCATATTTGCGTCAGGTTTAAAAATCCCCGTTTCTAGACAAATCAATGTAATTGCAAGTTCCGCATCTAGGGTCATCGCTCTTTGTCACACGTTTAGAGTCTTCCGAACTGAATCGGGCCTTGGTGAGTAAACTTTTAAGGTTTGGTGCTTGGCGTTTACTGTTTATAACAGGTGACCGATCGACCAGTTCATTCATACTGTCAGACTGCTCTAAGATCTTTTGGCAGTTTCTAGTATGTTATGGTTTCTTGGATTGTGTGTGACTACAAACGGAATATTTTGATTTTCAGTGATATTTTCCATTAATTCTTTGTTATCTTCGTAAACCCCGTCTTAATTCTCGACGACTGTCGTCTATCACAATGGTGTACATTCTCCTTGCCATGTCGAAAGGGATATTTGATTTCTTGTGAGACGGTTGACATGATGTCAAGATAAGGTACTGGTGAGTATCAGTATCTTTGCTAAAAGTCAGTTATTTTCTTTGTATTTTCCTTACTTATGGGGATATCTAGGAACGGAAGTTGCTCAATGTTATATTCAATAGTGAATTTGATGGATTCGTATACATTATTAATTGTTGTTTGGTCTGTCTGAAGAGCCAAATATGGCGAAAATTAAAGAAATTTATGAAAAACTTGAATGTGTCATTTTGAATTTATTTTGAAATATACATATAATATATACGTCTGAACAAGTGACAACTCTACGACAGATTTATCCATCGGATCACCAGTGAAGGTGATAATAGGCTGAAAACACGTATTAAAATATTTGTTCTTTCCTTGCCGGGATTCGAACAACTCCTGCTACTGAGATACCGTGGGAACTCTGCCTGCACTGTGTCAAGCGCAGTACACCACTCGACCACCTAGTCCGAACAAACATTCAGCTTTCTGTGGTCGTGTGATTCTTTTCCTCGTCGTTTTTTTTATCTAGGGTTGTAACACAGTACATGATAAGGAATGTGTAAATAGCAAAACCAGAAACTAAGAAACCAGAAATCAGAAACAAGAAACAAGAAATTAAAAATTATCTAATATTGAATATGTTTCTAGTATTTAATTATAATTGACCTGATATAAATACACATGTATAACTGATAAGGACTGTTCTTTATGCACCTGCTGTAGCTGAAAACCTTATCAATTGTAATAAAACTTAATTATATACAAAAAGTGTCAGTTCAGTGTTGGATTTTTAATTGTGTTGAAAGGTTGATATTGTTTATACAAAATGTAGATGTTTTAATCGTGTGTTTACTTTATAGTAAATGGTTGCTGATGTAAAACAATTATAAAGTGTCAGTTCAGTGTTAGACCACAAACATAACTTGATACAGATTTTTATTGGTGTTGAAAGGTTGACATTTTTTATAGATCTTTTGATAGCGTGTTTACTATAGTAAAGGGTTGCTGATGTAAAACAATTATGAAGTTTAAGAAATATCACCTCTGAATTTGATTTATGATTTCCTTTATTTCCTTTTTCATTGTTTTTATAAGTAAATCTCATAATCATCTATTCAACCAGTCGAATCAAACTTAAAATTTAGAAACTATGTCTAAAAAAGTTTTCCTGAAGAAGACCTATGCTGATGCAGTGAAAGGTATGTAGATTTCCATTCTTAATTCTACAACATAAATATTATACATTTTTACCCCAAGAAAATAACTAATCTGTCTTTTTGAATCACTACCCTATATTTAAATCAAATAGGCCCAGGACCAATCCAGTATATGTTAT